TCGGAGCTGCAGAAGAGACACACGTGCACGGACCTGGGTGAGCTGCGCAGCTACCTTGGCTTGCAGATCACCCGGGACAGAGCACGCCGCACCATCACACTGACTCAGTCACACATGGTGCAGCAGGTCCTTCAGCGCTTCGGCTTCACCTGGTCCTCGCCACAGTCCACTCCTCTGGCTATAGGTCACTCGCTCTCAGCTCCACCTTCGGACGAGTCCGTAGAGCCGAGTGGTCCTTACCCAGAGCTAGTGGGCTGCCTCATGTACCTGATGACCTGCACTCGACCTGACCTTGCGTACCCTCTTGGCCTTCTGGCTCGCTACGTGGCTCCTGGTAGGCACCGAAAGGTGCACATGGATGCTGCTAAGAGGGTACTGCGCTACCTGTGCAGTACATCGGGCATGGGGCTCGTGCTTGGAGGATGGGGTGACGTTGTCCTCACTGGACACTCTGACGCGTCTTGGGTTGACGACCAGGCTACGCAGCGGTCGTCACAGGGTTACACCTTCAGCCTTGGCTCTGGCTCTGTTTCTTGGCGGTCTACACGCTCGTCTTCTGTTCTCAGCTCCAGTTGTGAGGCTGAGATCTACGCCACAGCCTTGGCTGCACAGGAGTTACGCCGGCTCACCTACCTGCTGACTGACTTGGGAGAGCGGCCTCGTTCTCCTCCAGTTCTGTACGTTGACAACAAGGCGGCCATTGCCTTGTGTGAGGAGCACAGACTGGAGCACAGAACGAAGCACATCGCTCTGCGTTACTTCCTGGCTTGAGAGTTGCAGCAGCGAGGTCACCTTCGTCTTGCTCACGTGGCCACTCGGGCCAACACTGCTGATATATTCACCAAGGCACTTCCGTGTGGTGATCATCAGCGTTTCTGTACTTTGTTAGGCCTTGTACCTACGTTTCCACACTTGCTGTAGGCTTTGCTTGTACTGTGATCTATATGCATCTACTTGCATGCTTGCTCTTGCTAAGTAGTGATCACTGTGCTGTTCCTGTTGCATATATACCTCTGCATGTGGACTGGCCTTGTGGCCCTTTGCTTGTGCTCAGTGTGTGTGGTGACGTTGTGATCCACCTTGAGCTTGCTTTGCTTCTCTTGTCTGGTCTTGTGACCCCTTGTTCTCCCCCACTTTGCCTATGGGGGTGTGTCAAACTATATATATATGTATGCTGTAGTATAGTCTGTAGGCTGTAGTGGGGTAGCCCATGTCAGAGGTCCACTGGTGATCCCCGATTGATCCTAGGGAAGGGTTACAGGCACGTTGGCCTGGGGGGTTATGGGCGCACTCACCCGCTACACAAACAAGCCCTTTTATCCCAGTGGTTAGTGGCTGGGATTCTGACATGGTATCAGAGCGAAGGTCTCGGGTTCGAATCCCGGTGTGTGCACCTCGGGCATCCCAGTGCGGGGGGGTGTCAGAGGTCCACTGGTGATCCCCGATTGATCCTAGGGAAGGGTTACAGGCACGTTGGCCTGGGGGGTTATGGGCGCACTCACCCGCTACACAAACAAGCCCTTTTATCCCAGTGGTTAGTGGCTGGGATTCTGACAGCCCATATGGGGTACAGCCCAATGTTAGGGTTTCTATTTGTACCCACCTTCCTGATAGTTCATTCATTCCTGCCTAGACTTCTGACACGAACACCACGTGCTTCACCTAGCCCCTTGACCAAGGGCTCATCGCCATAACCAAGGCGCGGTACCGCCAGCATTGGCTCCACTTGTTCACCGCCCTGTGGTCTGCCGACGGAGCAACGTCCGCGATGGCTCGGTTCAAGCCGAACCTCGCGACGTTTTGGCCTGACTTAAGGGCACTTAGATTAACATTGATATGTGCACCATATAGCGCTGCTGGTGGCGCACCAGATACCTCCACGTGCGTGGGCCATAGAACTTCCTCACGTTCGCGGCGGCAATGGCGGCAACGGTGGCAACGGCGGGAATGGCGGGAATGGCGGGCAACGACGGCAACCGTGGCAATGGAGGCAACGGTGGTAATGGTGCCATCGACTTCGGACTCGATGAGGCCGTGGGCGACGTGGGCATCCTCATCGGCCGCCTCGGCCTAGGCTCTAGCACGATGCCAGCGGCGGAGTTTGTGCCGATGTGCACCGAGCCGGGCAAGGACCCGCTCGAGACTGAGCCAGCGGCGGCGTCGCCTGTCGAGATGTGGGAGGCCCGGACCACTATGAAAGTTGTCTATGAAGACAACAACCTGGCGTCTCACGAAGCCAGGCGTAACGCGTGCGCGGCTTGCGAGATGCTCATCGGCTACGCGCGGACGACTTGCATCACCGCACGAGACCCCTGCGAACTCTTCGACATCCGCAACCCAATTATAATAGCGCGGATGGAGCATCCAAGCCCGGCGCTCAATCTGAACATGACCCCCCGCCCGTCATGGCTCTTGCCGCCACCCCGCAGGCCGAGACCCCTCGTCGTCGGGGTCGCGTGCTGCCAGCGTGGATGACGGAGCCCATCCTTGCGTGTGTGACGCAGACTCAGCAGGCAGCTCGTCGCTAGCAACTGATTGACGCGTGTGTACCCGCCGTTATGGGCGGCTACTTCGATGCCGCTGAGTGGATGCGGCTGTGAAGGAGCTCGAGACCCCTTGGAGGAGTTATCGTCTCCTCCTAGTGCAATTGTGCACGACTTGTGCACAATTGCTCAAGCGTGATGTCATGACGAGGCTATTGCATGGGTACAGATGTTGAAGCTTCATTGGCCAAAAGGATAGGATTGGTGTTGGAGACAAATTGAGGTTTGTTTTGTAATTGCATGCAATAGTGAACGGAAAAAAGAGTGGTAACCTTGTCAACATATTAACAACAAAGCTGGCCACCCAATACGGTTAGGGAAAAAAAAATGTGTTACAACCTGTCTTTCTTACAAGCACCTTTAGACCGTGGCGAAGTGCACGAACCCAGCGAAAAGCCAAAAACACTTACAAGCCCAGAGCAACAAGGCAAGTACGGGGGACTCAACCGAGCATCATGTGATCACGATCGATTTACAGCCTCCGCCTAGCTCGTTTCTGCCTATTTCTAGACATTCTTCAGTTCCGTGCTTTCGATCATTTCAGCTTGTTTGTGAAACCGGCGCGCGCATAAAACCACCCGCAAATGAGGCTCAACAGCAGTGATATTTTCGACTCCAGAGCACAACCACCGCCACCACCTTCGTCTTCTTGCACCATGATGCCCGCGCCTGCCTTCGCCTGAGCACCGCCCTATCCGTCCATATGGCGTCCACCGACCCCCACCTCTCTCCGCCCTTTCTCCCCGCTTCCCCGCAGTTGCCTCCCGCGCCGCAATTCCCCTCTTTTCCCTCGTTCGCCCCTCCGTTACCCTCCGCATCTCCTCCCTTTCTTCCGCCCCCCGCCTCCCCATATGCGGAAGGATTTTGCCTGGCGTGGCAGCACCCGCACGCCTCGCTTCTATCTCGGACATGGTTCGCTCTAGTCACCGTTGCGCCGCCGCTCCTCTTCCTGCTCTTCCTCCTCTCCCGCGTCCGCCCCGCTCTGGCGCAGCTGCGGCGCGCGCGCAGCGCGGGCATGATGGGCGGGCAGTGCGCCGTGATGGCGGGATTCTATGCGCTGCTGTGGGCCGCCGCGGGAACGAACCTCGTGCGCAGCCTGGCGCAGGTGAGGCGCGCAACGGCGCAGGTGAGGGGCGGCATGGAGGGTGGTGGGGGTGAGGTTGGCGGGAGGTGTACAGAGTGAAGGGTTGGCGAGAGGTGAAGTACTTCGGCAGGCAGCACTGGTGGGGTGCTCGCCGTGGCCAGCTCATTGACTGCATGGTACAGGGCATCAGCATCTTGGGGAGGCTTCAAGCTTGCCTCGTGCAGCGAGCAGCAGGGTGATCAACAGCTCGTGCAGCGAGCAGCAGGGTGATCAACAGCTTGTGCAGCGAGCAGCAGGGTGATCAACAGCTCGTGCAGCGAGCAGCAGGGTGATCAACAGCTCGTGGCCTCCACGTTTAGCACGAAACACAACCTCAGTTTGTGTGAGTGAGACGTTCAAATTGCCAAACCTTGGCCTAGTTTGGCTATGCAGTTCAAGTCACATGCTCATTACAGTTGTCTCACGGCATATGCGGTCCTAATGGAGTCCTTTGTTGGCATCTCCTCTTTGGGTGGACAGCGCATGCACGCCACCTGAGCAACGTGTAGTGCATCATGGTTCCCCAAAGCGGCCGCACAACTCCACTATGCATCCCCTCCGCTACGCCGCCACTCTGGTCATACGCGGATGATCCATGAAGGGCACGCACCCATGGGGCAAATGGGCACCCACCGTGCTGTCAATATATTGGCTTTCACTGACCGCGGCAATGACAAAGGGTTTGCCCGCGGTCCGCATCATTGCCCGTGCTCCGTGCTCCAACATCCGGCACATGCAAGCAAGAGGTGTTTTGTTTACATGGTGGCTGCTAACACGTACAAGATAGACCAGGTACCAGGGTGTAGCTGCAACACACTGCAAGCAAGAGCAATACCATCCCACCGTACCTTGTCCGTTTTGAAGCAGGGGGACACTGAGACCAGTGCTTGCCTGGTTGACAAGCGCATGGGCGAGTGAGTGGTGTGAGGAGTCATCCACATGCCACGGCGCATGGGGTGGTTGGCATGCTGCCACTCACCACCACTGGGACTGCCATACTTGATGACCACAGCACAGCTGCCTTATGACAATAGCTGCTGCCTCACCTATGTGTTCGTGTGTCTTTCATATGGCATCTACCCCCCCACCTGCATCCACCCCACACACACCACGGCCCCCCACATTCTCCAGCTCGCCCTTTTACATTTCCCTCCTCCCCCCACCTGCCTCTCCCCCCCCAGCTGCTGTTGCTATCACCAGATGCTGCGGCTGAGCCTGCAGGCAGCAGTGCGTGGGTGAGCGGGGCGTGGGTGAGCGGGGCGTGGATGGCGGCGGGGTGGGTGAGCGTGGCGCTGGAGGCGGGGGTGCTGCTCTTCCTCATGCACGGCGTCCGCATGTCCGCCTCCGAGGCCCTGCTGCGCACCGCTGTCATCGCTGCCATCCTTGCTGGCGCTGACGTGGCAGTCAAGGTGAGGTGCGGTGGAAGCAGCGCAGCGGCCCACATGAGGAGGTAGCTCTGCCAGTGCATGCTGCCACTGTAGCCTCGCCCTCCCCGATGCCCTCCTCCCATGCGCTGTGCGCACGGATCCGCTTGCCCCGTCCTCCTCCTTGCATGCCTCTCCTCTTCCACTCTCATTCCTTGCGTCCTCCTCTTCCTCTCTTCCGCACTGCGCCCTGCCATTCAACCCCCCCTTGCCATGGCAACCCATGCGCCCCTCCTGCCCCGCCATGCCAGGCGTCGCTGGTGTTCCACCACGCGCTGCCGCTCTTCCACCCGTCCCTCGCACCCGCCACGCCGGGCGCCGTGTGGCTCTTCTGGGTGGCCCATGACGGCCTGCAAGCCGCCGTCTACGCCGCCCTGCTCTCCCTGCCCCTCTCCCACTGCCGCGACGCCCTTCCTGGTGAGTGCCATTCGCTGCCTCACTAGAGTGCAGCAATAGCTGGATTGGAGAGGGGCAGGTGGGGGGAGAGGTGGGTGGAGAGCGAGGGTGGGAGATGTGTGCGAGGGTGGGAGATGTGTGCATGGACTCACATGTGCATGGACTCACATGTGCATGGACTCACATGTGCACTATTTGACATGCACGCCTCCCTCCCTGTCCCCCACCCCCTCTCCCTGTGAGCAGCGCGCCCCGCCTTCCACCGCTACCTGCTGCTGCTACTGCTGCTGCACTCTGCCTCTGCTTTGAGCGCTCTCCTCCTCGCCCTCCACGTGCCCGCCGCCCTCTGGTCTGTGCATGTGCTCTGCTCTCCACACGCCTGCACTTCCCGCCGTGCACTAGTCATGGCATTCGTTACTTGAGTGGTTGTTTCCGTGCCGCCAATCACTCGCCTTTATGGGCATCCATGGCTTTGCATGGACATGCATGGGTGTGCATTGGCTGCATGGGAATGGATGGGAATGCATGGGTGTTGCTGTGCGTCCACTCCCCTGCAGCATGCGAGGGCTTGCAGTGTGTCTCTACTGGGCGCTCTTCCCGCCGCTGCTCTACCTCACCTTCCTCGCCGACTTCTTCCAGGTCCGCCCTCTCCATCCAACTTCCTTGTGTGCCCGCACCCATACCTGCACCCATACCTGCACCCATACCTGCACCCATACCTGCACCCATACCTGCACCCATACCTGCACCCATACCTGCACCCATACCTGCACCCATACCTGCACCCATACCTGCACCCATACCTGCACCCATACCTGCACCCATACCTGCACCCATACCTGCACCCATACCTGCACCCATACCTGCACCCATGCCTGCACCCATGCCTGCACCCATGCCTGCACCCATGCCTGCACCCATGCCTGCACCCATGCCTGCACCCATGCCTGCACCCATGCCTGCACCTATGCCTGCACCTATGCCTGCACCTATGCCTGCACCCATGCCTGCACACATGGCCACATGCGTGCCTTTGCATATGCCGCGCAACACACGTGTCTGCACGCGGCTTCTTTCACTTCCCCCTTCCCTTCCCCCTCGGCAACGCCCCTTATAGGACGAGGACACGGAGGTGGAGGATGCATACTACTCCGAGATGAGGGATGCAGGGATGTTTGATGCCGACGGGGACTGGGACTGACCATGTGCTCAATGCTCATGCTGCCATGTCAGCTGCTCCGAGTCAGCTCCCTCTCATTTTTTGGGGATAATCTGTCAAATGTTGTAGCCTATAGTGAGGTTTGTCTTAGGGGGTACAAAACTTAGGGTTAGCTATATGTACCCCAACCAACATCAATGCATCATCCATTCTTCATTCTGACATGGTATCAGTTAGGTTAGGATCCTGTGGGATCCCGTTCCTCCGTTCTCCGTTCGAGCCTCCCGAGCCTGATCCTAGCTCTCATTCGTCCCGGTTCCGTTGTTACCGCGCGTAGTGCCGAGCCTAGCGCCAATCCTAGCGCCCGTCCGCGCCACCCGTTCCCCTCGTTCCGTAGCGCCCGCCCTTACCCCCCGTCGCGTCGCGTTCCCCCCCCACGTCGTGTCGCGCCCGTTCCCCCCGTCGCGTCGCCGCCCATTCCCCCCGTCGCGTCGCGCCTTTTCCCCCCGTCACGTCCTGCCCGTCCTTTCCCCCTCGTCGCGTCCCTTTCCCCCTGTCCCGTCCTGCCCGCCCTTTCCCCCCTCGTCGCGTCCCTTTCCCCCCGTCGCGTCCTCCTCGCCCTTTCCCCCTCGTCGCGTCCCTTTCCCCCCGTCGCGTCCTGCCCGCCCTTACCCCCCCTGGTCGCGTCCCTTTCCCCCCGTCGCGTCCTCCCCGCCCTTCCCCCCTCGTCGCGTCCCCTTTCCCCCCGCCGCGTCCCGCCCGTCCTTTCCCCTCGTCGTGCCCCTTTCCCCCCCGTCGCGTCCCGCCCGTCCTTTCCCCCCCGTTGGGTCCCTTTCCCCCCGTCGCGTCCCGCCCGTCCTTTACCTCCGTCACGGCCCGCCCCTTCCCCTCCTGTAGCGGCCCGCCCTTTCCCCTGTAGCGGCCCGCCCTTTCCCCTGTAGCGGCTCGCCCCTTTCCCCAGCCCGTCGTCTTAACCCTAGCCTGCTCTTCCGCTGCCACTGTATCCCTAGCGTTAGTTCTCGCTATGGCGACTCCGCGTGTGCTTCGTTTCGACGCTGACGGTAGACCTCTTGATTTTTCCGTCTGGCTTCTTCGTGCTCGCCGTCTGTTAGAGAGTCAGGTCCAGGCAGGCGAGACCCTCTGGGCGCACGCTACTGGTGCCCTACCTGCGCCCTCCGACCCTACGCCTTTAGGACCTGCCCCTGACGACGCCGCTAGAGCCCGCTTTGCCACTCAGCGAGCTGACCAGACGGCTTGGACGTCACGTGACGCTGCGGCCTGCATCGCGCTCAGCAGCCTCCTCCCTGAGTCTGAGGAGGTTCACTTCACTCAGGTTCGCACCGCTGCTGAGTACCTCACTGCGATTAAGGCCCGCTACTCTTCTCCCGCTGCTGTCTCTCTTGGCCGCCTGTTCCTCCCGTTCCTGTTTCCTGACCTAGCGTCTTTTGAGCGCTCTGCTGACTTGATCGCTCACCTCCGCTCGCTCGACGCTAGTTACCGCGCTGCTTGCACTGAGGCACAGCTTGCACTGCTTCCTCCCCCTATGGCGATTACTATCTATTTCATCGCCACTAGCCTCCCTGACCGCCTTGCCTCTGTTCGTGACGCGCTTCTGCTGAAGCACCCTAGTGAGCTCACAGTCGATGTCCTTGAGTCTACACTCAAGGACGTCGAGAGCAACCTTCGCTCGGTAGCCGCTGCCTCTGGTGCTGTGCCCCCCCCACTCTTCCACGGGTGCACAGTCCCGCAGTTACCCACCTTTACTGCCTCACTTGCCACTGCCGCTACTGACGCGACTGCAGCTGCTGTTACGACTGCGTCGCGGTCCCGCGGTAGGAGTGGCAAGAAAGGCGGTTCTGGTGGTGGTAGTGGAGGTGGAGGCGGAGGTAGTGGAGGTGGCGTTGCGCCTGGCGGCGGTGGAGGTTCAGGGCCTGGAGAGGCGCCTCGTGCAGTGACTGGTGACTCCACTGCGCCTGCTAGTGGTGGCGACGCCCGAGTTCGTCAGTCGCCTCCTGTACTTCCTGCCCCGGTTGGTGGAGCAGCGGCGTGGTACCAGGCTCAGCGTCAGCAGCAGCTTCTGCAGCACCAGCAGCCCCTCTCCTCCCAGCAGCCTCAGCAGCAGCAGCGGCAGCAGCTGGCTCCAGGGTCGGGGCTGCGTCAGACCCAGCGTGGTGCTGCTTACACTCCCTGCACCTACCAGGTTCTGACAGGCACTCGTCGTGGCCACCCTTGTGGCCGGTTTCACCCCCCTGGTCAGTGCTTTGCTCAGCTCACTGACACGGTTCGTTTGGTCTACGGGGTTGGTGCTCCTGCCCCTGACTGGCTGCCTCTTGTTCAGCGCTACGGCTCCGCTCTGTGGGGCATGTCTGCTGAGCAGTTAGTTGATCTGATTGGTACTCCCCATGCTATGTATGCTGTTGTTGACTCTAGTGTTTCTGACTCTGTTTACTCTGGTGTTGTTAGCTTAGGTGCTAGCCTTGCTCAGTTGCCTGTTGCTAGTGTAGGTTCTTGTGTAGACTCTAGTCCAGCGGCTACCTCAGAGGACGGTTCGCTGTCGTTCACGCTGGACTCTGGAGCCTCTCACTGCTTCTTTCGTGACAGCACGACACTTACGCCTCTTCCTGCGCCTGTTTCTGTGGCGCTGGCTGATCCCACTTCGGGACCAGTCACCGCGCGTCACACTACCACCTTGCCGTGTCCGGCTGCTCCTTCTGGGTCTCTCACTGGGTTTCACGTCCCCTCGTTCTCCCGGAACTTGGTGGGCGTGCGACCCCTCGTGAGTCAGCACGTGGGTGTGTGGTTTGAGCCTTCTGGAGAGACTGCGGTGTGTGTTGACGGGGACTCTTACCAGCCCCTCGCCACTTTTGCTGCTGAGCCGGGCTCCGGTCTCTACACTCTTCACACTCGCCCGCGCGCTCAGCAGCGACTGCAGCAGCAGCAGCAGCCGCAGCAGCCGCAGCAGCAGCCGCAGCCGCAGCCACAGCGGCCGCCGTCGCAGCAGCCACTCCTCCCAGTTCCTGTCCCTCCCCCTAGTCTCCTCCCTGCGTCTCACCAGGTGGTTCCGTCCCCTCAGGTTGTCGCGTCCAGTCCAGTCGCTGCGTCTTGCTCCTGTCGGTCGCTTGCCCACCCCACCGTTCTGTGGCACCACCGGATGGGACACCCTTCTCTTCCACGTCTGCGTGCTATGTCTAGTCAGCGTCTGGTCTTAGGTCTCCCGCGTGTCTTGCCGTCGCTGCCGCCGTCCCTTGCACCACCGTGCGGTCCTTGCGTCGAGGGTAGGCTGCGTGCCACCCCTCACTCCTCCTCCCTTCGTCCGGCCACCGAGCCTTTTGAGACGCTGCACTTGGACGTCTGGGGCCCCTCTCCTCGCCCTGGCCCTGAGCGTGAGCGTTTCTTTTTTGTGGTCGTTGACGACTACTCCCGCTACACCACAGTGTTCCCCCTGGCGAGGAAGTCTGAGGTGACTTCTACGCTGATCAGGTGGTTGCTTACCACCCAGGACACTCGTGGTCGTCGTGTCAGCTGTCTCCACTCCGACCGCGGGGGCGAGTTTCGCTCCGGCATTCTCGCTGGATTCTGTCGCGAACAGGGCATTCGTCAGTCCTGGACGCTTCCGGAGTCCCCACAGCAGAATGGGGTTGCTGAGCGTCGCATAGGCCTGGTCATGGAGATTGCCCGCACCTCCTTGACTCACGCCCGTGCCCCCCATTTCCTGTGGCCATACGCGGTCAGGTACGCCGCGCACCAGCTGAACCTCTGGCCACGCGTCTCTCGGCCGGAGGCTTCACCGACCAGTCTTTGGACAGGGTCCCCTGGTGTCGCGTCGAGGTTTCGTGTCTGGGGGTGCTTGGCTCTTGTCCGCGACACCTCCGCGGACAAGCTCTCGCCTCGCGCCGTTCCTTGTGTCTTCCTTGGTTTCCCTGCGGACTCCTCTGACTTCACCTTTTACCACCCTCCCTCCCACCGGTTCTTTGACTCCCGTGACGTCCGTTTCGAGGAGTCCACCCCCTACTACGTCAGGTACCCCAGTCGAGGTCTCCCGGTCCCTCCCCCCCCTCTCTTCCTGACCGCCGCTCCCCCGCCTGCTCCCCCGGTACAGCCTCCCCCCCCTGGTCCAGCCCCGTCTGGTGTGTCTCAGGCTAGCCCTCCCCCTTCGGTAGCCCCCCCTGTACAGCCTCCCTCCCCACAGTCTTCCTCGCCGCCTCCTGCAGGTGCTCCCTCTCGAGAGGTTGGTCCTGCGACTGTCCCTGTACAGGTCTCTGGTTCTGGGGGTGCTGGAGTTGGAGCTGAGCCGCGGGTTGCAGAGGACTCTTGTCTTCCGGGGGCTGGTACTGGTCGTGCGGAGTCTGGGGGTGCTGGTGCGGAGTCTGGGGGTGCTGCGTCTGGGGGTGAGGGTGTCCCTTCGGTTTCTGGAGAGCCTGGGTCTGGAGCTGGTGTTGGTGCTGCCTCTGGGGGTGGTGTGCTTGGTGCTTCGGAGGTCGACTCTGGGGCTGCCGCTGCCCCGGACACTACTCCTTCCCCCCACCCCTACCCGACCAGGTTCCAGGCTCGTGTTCGCCGTGCTCGTGAGGAGCAGCTGGAGTTGGAGAGAGAGGAGAGAGAGTTGCAGCAGCTCGAGGAGCAAGAGCGACAGCAGCAGGAGCAGCAGCAGGGGCAGCAGCCGCTGGAGCAGCAGCAGCCGCAGCAGCCGCAGCAGCAGCAGCTGCCGTCTCCTCCTCCTGTCTCGGGTCTTCGGACCCTTGGTCTCCCCTCTCCCTCTCCTTCCTCCTCCCCCTCTCCTCCCGTCTCTGGTCCTCCGCTTCCTCCTCCTGACCCCTCTCCCGCTGTTTTCCCTCGTTCTCAGTCTTCGTTGTCCCCTCCTCCTTCTCAGACTTGGGCCTCTCGTCGCTCCCCTCGTGCTCGTCCCTCGTCTCCTGTTCCCTTCACTGACCTTCGTACTGCCTTACTTCGTTCTAGTCCACCTCGTCCGTCTCCGTCTGTGCTTCCGTCTCCTCCTGAGTCGGCCCTCACTGCGTCGCTCCCTACTCCTGTCACTGACTACTACCGCACGTACCGTCCTCTTCTCTCTCGTGTTCTCGCCTCGCTTGTTACTCACCCTCGTGCCTCTGTGTCCTCTGTGTCCGCTCTTACTGCCGCAGTCACTGAGTTTGCCTCTACCCGCCGCCTTGACTTCGCCACCGCTCTTGTGGCTGCTCCTCCTTCCAGTCCTCTGGCCGTCGGGGGTGTGTCTGCCCTTGGCTGTGACGCCCTAGAGGACAGGCAGTTTGAGCTAGAGTTCCTGGCGGCCGCTTCCCCTCATCTCTGTGCCATGCTCCTCGCCCCTGAGGGTGACCCCGACGCCCTTGACATTCCGACTCCTCGCACTTACGCTGAGGCAGTGTCAGGGCCTTGGGCCTCTCAGTGGAGAGCTGCCATGGACGCAGAGATGGCCTCCTACAGATCCACAGGCACCTACGTCGATGAGGTTCCCCCTCCGGGGGCGAACGTAGTCGACGGCATGTGGATCTACAGGGTGAAGCGGCCACCGGGATCTCCTCCGGTCTTCAAGGCGCGCTACGTGGCTAGAGGTTTCAGTCAGCGCGAGGGAGTTGACTTCTTTCAGACCTTCGCGCCCACCCCGAAGATGACCACTCTTCGGGTGTTACTACACGTAGCAGCACAGAGAGACTACGAGTTACACTCTCTCGACTTCTCTACTGCTTTCCTTCAGGGCAGTCTTCACGAGGAGGTCTGGTTGCGTCGTCCCTCTGCCTTCACTGGCTCTTTCCCTCCTGGGACCCAGTGGAGGCTGAGGCGACCGGTTTACGGTCTTCGTCAGGCTCCTCGTGAGTGGCACGACACCCTGCGTTCTACCCTGTCTGACCTTGGGTTCCAGCCGTCTTCTGCTGACCCGTCGCTGTTCGTTCGTCGTGGCCCCACACCTTTCTTTGTTCTGGTCTACGTTGACGACCTTGTTTTCGCCACCCCTGACAGGGTTGCTTTAGCACACGTGAAGTCCGAACTGCAGAAGAGACACACCTGCACTGATCTTGGTGAGCTGCGCCACTACCTTGGCCTGCAGATCACTAGGGACAGAGCTGCTCGCACCATTACACTTTCACAGTCGCACATGGTGCAGCAGGTCCTTCAGCGGTTCGGGCTTCAGCACTCCACAGTACAGCGCACACCTCTTGCTATTGACCACAGACTCACTGGACTTTTTCCTGACGAGCCGTTCGAGCCTAGTGGTCCCTACGCAGAGCTTGTGGGTTGCCTCATGTACCTGATGACTTGTACTCGCCCGGACCTCGCCTTCCCTCTCAGCGTTCTTGCGCGCTTTGTTGCGCCAGGGAGACACCGTCCTGTTCACTGGACAGCAGCTGTGAGGGTGGCGAAGTACCTAGCGACGACGTCAGGCGTGGGGCTAGTTCTTGGAGGGCAGCAGTCTGTCGTACTTACTGGTCACTGTGACTCCTCTTACGCTGACGACGCTGAGACTCACAGGTCTACTCAGGGGTACTGTTTCAGCCTGGGTTCTGGAGCTGTTTCCTGGCGGTCCACGCGCTCCTCTTCGGTCTCGACCTCTACAGCTGAGGCTGAGATCTACGCTGGTGCCATGGCGGCACAGGAGCTGCGTTGGTTGACCTTCTTGCTCACCGACCTTGGTGAGCGGCCGAGCTCTGCACCGACCTTGTTCACTGACAACAAGGCGTCTATTCTCCTTTGTCGAGAGCCACGACTGGAGAGCAGAGTGAAGCACATTTACGTCAGGTACTTTCTTCTGCGAGAGTTGCAGAGGCGTGGACAGGCTCGCTTTGAGTTTGTGGAGTCCGAGGCCAACACTGCAGACATCTTCACCAAGGCGCTTCCGCCTTGTGACCACCAGAGGTGCTGTGTGCAGTTAGGCCTTGTTGACACTGGTTCTCGTGTTGCTTAGACTTGAGTGTACTGTTTACTTTGCTTTCTATATACCTCTGTTACTTCTTGGACTGGCCTTGTGGCCACTGTTGTTTGTGCTCAGACTGTGTGGTGACGTTGTGATCCACCCTGAGCTTCGTTTCTTGGACTGGTCTTGTGACCGTACTCGTTTGGTTCTGCTAGACACCCCTCACTTAGGCTATGGGGGTGTGTCAAATGTTGTAGCCTATAGTGAGGTTTGTCTTAGGGGGTACAAAACTTAGGGTTAGCTATATGTACCCCAACCAACATCAATGCATCATCCATTCTTCATTCTGACATAATCTTCCTCGGCAATCAGCGCTGAGCTGACTGACTTGTTTATGTTCATTTCTTAGCCTGGTTTTTAACCATACATGTACCTAACATCCACTGTTGCTGTACAGAAAGTGCTGTCTCTTATGGTAAGAGTGGGTGGTAGAACGTAGCACAGCCAAAGCTTCAGAGAACTAGCCCTAGTTTAGTTGCCACCGTTGCATAGCCTGGATCACATTTGCGCGTTACCGTTAGCACTGTTATTTTTAGCTCATGACTTCGCCCACACTGAACTTCTCTTGACCCCTTTGTGCTTCCTCACTGGTTCATTGCATTGTACATGTAACATGGATTTAGGTGTGTACGAAGATTGAAGATTTCTTACACTTTATACCCTCTTGAAACTGGGTGTTTCTGTTTAGAATCTGACGCGATACAAATAGTATTAACTTTCGTCATAACACCATAACCGACTCCACATCTGTCGAGCATTTTCGGCTTTCGGTCCAGGAGCGCAGGAGGAACTGCCGACCATTCACCAAACCCAAAGCTGGAAGGGGATGAGACAACTGCCGTCTTTCCATCCCTATTTCGCCTCCTAGTTCTCTATAGCGCGTTCCGTTTGTGCTTTTCCAGCGGCCTAACCGCCGACTAGTTGCTCCTGCTTTCCGTGGTTCCGCCACGAAGCGCAACGCAGACAGCGTCGCACGCGGTTCCGTGCTTTCTGTGGTTCCGCCAGCTGCAGATCGCTTCTAGCAACAAAGTCTTCCCGCACGCGTGGCTTGCGCCAAGTCTCACGTACCTATCTCCTCCCGCGCATCTCGTAGCCCCGCAGTCTCCCTCGTCGGCTCCAACGCGCAGCGCCCTCGTCGCGCGGGGGCACGCAGTGGGATGGGCGCGTCGGGGTTGTCGCGGTTGCCTCGGCACCCGCGGTGAGCCCACCTGCTAGCGCGCCCGCGGCCCCGCCCACCTCTGCGCTCGGAGTTGCCGCGCGGCCTTTTTCACGAACGATTCACTCGAACGCGAAACGCACTCCCTCGGACGTCATTAGGGGAAAACGGTTAGCTTAGGTTATCACGATGCAGCTGCCGCCGCCCCCTAGGCCGCCGTCCACCACCCGAATAGCCATCGGCGGCGGAGAGTAGTGTCGCGCGCACAGCGGGTCTAGTCGCACGGCTACAAGTCGAGAGGGGAAGGGCGCGGTTTGCCCCCGCAGTGCGTTGGCCTCTTCGCCCCAACCGTGCGCGTCTGCGCTGAAGCACTGTGGCAGCGGCAGCATGAAGCAGTGGAAGCGGCTAACGGGTCTGGCGGCGAAGGGCAGAGCGGGCGATGCGCGCGCAGCGGAGAGGGCCTCGGGGACGCCGCCAGGCTCGCAACAGGCGGCAGGTGGGGGCGGAGCGGGCAGGGCGAGGAGCAGCGGCTTGGCGGAGGGAATGAGGGCCATGGCGGTGACGCAGACGGACTCCATCGAGGACGAGTTCCAACAGGGCTTGCAGGTGTGTGGGGCTTGCAGGTGTGTGGGGCTTGCAGGTGCGTGGGGCTTGCAGGTGCGTCCATGGGGCTTGCAGGTGCGTCCATGGGGCTTGCAGGTGCGTCCATGGGGCATGGGCATGACATGCACCTAAGCATGCACTCATGCGCCCATGCACCACTCCCCGTCCCCAATGCTACATACCCCAGGCCTATGCACCATGCCCCATGCCCTATGCCCTGTGCCCCATGCCCCATGTCCCGTGCCCCGTGCCCCGTGCCCCGTGCCCCGTGCCCCGTGCCCCGTGCCCCATGGCGGCTGCCCCATGCCCTCCGTGCGCCATGCGTGGCAGGAGGTGGGGGAGATGAGGGACAAGTACGAGAGGCTGCTGGCAGCCGTGGCGGACGCACAGGAGAGAGCAGCAGGTGCGCTCGTCTCGTGGGTGTTGTTCAACCCGCCACACTGCAACTACCACTCAATCATTTCTTCCACTCCCATCCTTTCTCGCTTCTCTCTGTCCGTCCAAGCCCAGCCCACCGCATGCTCTGCTCTCTCCCTCCCTGTCCGCCTCCCCCACGGTGCATGCATGATCCATCACCATCCATGTTTCATGCCGCCGCTGCTCTCCCCACCACCCTATCTCTCATCCCAACCCCCCCTTCCCCACCCCCCTCCCCCCTGCGCGCATCAGAGTGTGCGGAGGCGCTGCACCAGCTGGCGGCGGTGGTGGCGGACGCGTTTGGCGGCGTGGAGGAGGGCGGCGCCGGGGACACCCTCATGGCCGCCGCCGCTGTAGATGGCCGCCTGGCTGAGCTGCTTTACTTCTATGTGAGCTGCTCTACTTCTATGTGAGCTGCTCTACTTCTATGTGAGCTGCTCTACTTCTATGTGAGCTGCTCTACTTCTATGTGAGCTGCTCTACTTCTATGTGAGCTGCTCTACTTCTATGTGAGCTGCTCTACTTCTATGTGAGCTGCTCTACTTCTATGTGAGCTGCTCTACTTCTATGTGAGCTGCTCTACTTCTATGTGAGCTGCTCTACTTCTATGTGAGCTGCTCTACTTCTATGTGAGCTGCTCTACTTCTATGTGAGCTGCTCTACTTCTATGTGAGCTGCTCTACTTCTATGTGAGCTGCTCTACTTCTATGTGAGCTGCTCTACTTCTATGTGAGCTGCTCTACTTCTATGTGAGCTGCTCTACTTCTATGTGAGCTGCTCTACTTCTATGTGAGCTGCTCTACTTCTATGTGAGCTGCTCTACTTCTATGTGAGCTGCTCTACTTCTATGTGAGCTGCTCTACTTCTATGTGAGCTGCTCTACTTCTATGTGAGCTGCTCTACTTCTATGTGAGCTGCTCTACTTCTATGTGAGCTGCTCTACTTCTATGTGAGCTGCTCTACTTCTATGTGAGCTGCTCTACTTCTATGTGAGCTGCTCTACTTCTATGTGAGCTGCTCTACTTCTATGTGAGCTGCTCTACTTCTATGTGAGCTGCTCTACTTCTATGTGAGCTGCTCTACTTCTATGTGAGCTGCTCTACTTCTATGTGAGCTGCTCTACTTCTATGTGAGCTGCTCTACTTCTATGTGAGCTGCTCTACTTCTATGTGAGCTGCTCTACTTCTATGTGAGCTGCTCTACTTCTATGTGAGCTGCTCTACTTCTATGTGAGCTGCTCTACTTCTATGTGAGCTGCTCTACTTCTATGTGAGCTGCTCTACTTCTATGTGAGCTGCTCTACTTCTATGTGAGCTGCTCTACTTCTATGTGAGCTGCTCTACTTCTATGTGAGCTGCTCTACTTCTATGTGAGCTGCTCTACTTCTATGTGAGCTGCTCTACTTCTATGTGAGCTGCTCTACTTCTATGTGAGCTGCTCTACTTCTATGTGAGCTGCTCTACTTCTATGTGAGCTGCTCTACTTCTATGTGAGCTGCTCTACTTCTATGTGAGCTGCTCTACTTCTATGTGAGCTGCTCTACTTCTATGTGAGCTGCTCTACTTCTATGTGAGCTGCTCTACTTCTATGTGAGCTGCTCTACTTCTATGTGAGCTGCTCTACTTCTATGTGAGCTGCTCTACTTCTATGTGAGCTGCTCTACTTCTATGTGAGCTGCTCTACTTCTATGTGAGCTGCTCTACTTCTATGTGAGCTGCTCTACTTCTATGTGAGCTGCTCTACTTCTATGTGAGCTGCTCTACTTCTATGTGAGCTGCTCTACTTCTATGTGAGCTGCTCTACTTCTATGTGAGCTGCTCTACTTCTATGTGAGCTGCTCTACTTCTATGTGAGCTGCTCTACTTCTATGTGAGCTGCTCTACTTCTATGTGAGCTGCTCTACTTCTATGTGAGCTGCTCTACTTCTATGTGAGCTGCTCTACTTCTATGTGAGCTGCTCTACTTCTATGTGAGCTGCTCTACTTCTATGTGAGCTGCTCTACTTCTATGTGAGCTGCTCTACTTCTATGTGAGCTGCTCTACTTCTATGTGAGCTGCTCTACTTCTATGTGAGCTGCTCTACTTCTATGTGAGCTGCTCTACTTCTATGTGAGCTGCTCTACTTCTATGTGAGCTGCTCTACTTCTATGTGAGCTGCTCTACTTCTATGTGAGCTGCTCTACTTCTATGTGAGCTGCTCTACTTCTATGTGAGCTGCTCTACTTCTATGTGAGCTGCTCTACTTCTATGTGAGCTGCTCTACTTCTATGTGAGCTGCTCTACTTCTATGTGAGCTGCTCTACTTCTATGTGAGCTGCTCTACTTCTATGTGAGCTGCTCTACTTCTATGTGAGCTGCTCTACTTCTATGTGAGCTGCTCTACTTCTATGTGAGCTGCTCTACTTCTATGTGAGCTGCTCTACTTCTATGTGAGCTGCTCTACTTCTATGTGAGCTGCTCTACTTCTATGTGAGCTGCTCTACTTCTATGTGAGCTGCTCTACTTCTATGTGAGCTGCTCTACTTCTATGTGAGCTGCTCTACTTCTATGTGAGCTGCTCTACTTCTATGTGAGCTGCTCTACTTCTATGTGAGCTGCTCTACTTCTATGTGAGCTGCTCTACTTCTATGTGAGCTGCTCTACTTCTATGTGAGCTGCTCTACTTCTATGTGAGCTGCTCTACTTCTATGTGAGCTGCTCTACTTCTATGTGAGCTGCTCTACTTCTATGTGAGCTGCTCTACTTCTATGTGAGCTGCTCTACTTCTATGTGAGCTGCTCTACTTCTATGTGAGCTGCTCTACTTCTATGTGAGCTGCTCTACTTCTATGTGAGCTGCTCTACTTCTATGTGAGCTGCTCTACTTCTATGTGAGCTGCTCTACTTCTATGTGAGCTGCTCTACTTCTATGTGAGCTGCTCTACTTCTATGTGAGCTGCTCTACTTCTATGTGAGCTGCTCTACTTCTATGTGAGCTGCTCTACTTCTATGTGAGCTGCTCTACTTCTATGTGAGCTGCTCTACTTCTATGTGAGCTGCTCTACTTCTATGTGAGCTGCTCTACTTCTATGTGAGCTGCTCTACTTCTATGTGAGCTGCTCTACTTCTATGTGAGCTGCTCTACTTCTATGTGAGCTGCTCTACTTCTATGTGAGCTGCTCTACTTCTATGTGAGCTGCTCTACTTCTATGTGAGCTGCTCTACTTCTATGTGAGCTGCTCTACTTCTATGTGAGCTGCTCTACTTCTATGTGAGCTGCTCTACTTCTATGTGAGCTGCTCTACTTCTATGTGAGCTGCTCTACTTCTATGTGAGCTGCTCTACTTCTATGTGAGCTGCTCTACTTCTATGTGAGCTGCTCTACTTCTATGTGAGCTGCTCTACTTCTATGTGAGCTGCTCTACTTCTATGTGAGCTGCTCTACTTCTATGTGAGCTGCTCTACTTCTATGTGAGCTGCTCTACTTCTATGTGAGCTGCTCTACTTCTATGTGAGCTGCTCTACTTCTATGTGAGCTGCTCTACTTCTATGTGAGCTGCTCTACTTCTATGTGAGCTGCTCTACTTCTATGTGAGCTGCTCTACTTCTATGTGAGCTGCTCTACTTCTATGTGAGCTGCTCTACTTCTATGTGAGCTGCTCTACTTCTATGTGAGCTGCTCTACTTCTATGTGAGCTGCTCTACTTCTATGTGAGCTGCTCTACTTCTATGTGAGCTGCTCTACTTCTATGTGAGCTGCTCTACTTCTATGTGAGCTGCTCTACTTCTATGTGAGCTGCTCTACTTCTATGTGAGCTGCTCTACTTCTATGTGAGCTGCTCTACTTCTATGTGAGCTGCTCTACTTCTATGTGAGCTGCTCTACTTCTATGTGAGCTGCTCTACTTCTATGTGAGCTGCTCTACTTCTATGTGAGCTGCTCTACTTCTATGTGAGCTGCTCTACTTCTATGTGAGCTGCTCTACTTCTATGTGAGCTGCTCTACTTCTATGTGAGCTGCTCTACTTCTATGTGAGCTGCTCTACTTCTATGTGAGCTGCTCTACTTCTATGTGAGCTGCTCTACTTCTATGTGAGCTGCTCTACTTCTATGTGAGCTGCTCTACTTCTATGTGAGCTGCTCTACTTCTATGTGAGCTGCTCTACTTCTATGTGAGCTGCTCTACTTCTATGTGAGCTGCTCTACTTCTATGTGAGCTGCTCTACTTCTATGTGAGCTGCTCTACTTCTATGTGAGCTGCTCTACTTCTATGTGAGCTGCTCTACTTCTATGTGAGCTGCTCTACTTCTATGTGAGCTGCTCTACTTCTATGTGAGCTGCTCTACTTCTATGTGAGCTGCTCTACTTCTATGTGAGCTGCTCTACTTCTATGTGAGCTGCTCTACTTCTATGTGAGCTGCTCTACTTCTATGTGAGCTGCTCTACTTCTATGTGAGCTGCTCTACTTCTATGTGAGCTGCTCTACTTCTATGTGAGCTGCTCTACTTCTATGTGAGCTGCTCTACTTCTATGTGAGCTGCTCTACTTCTATGTGAGCTGCTCTACTTCTATGTGAGCTGCTCTACTTCTATGTGAGCTGCTCTACTTCTATGTGAGCTGCTCTACTTCTATGTGAGCTGCTCTACTTCTATGTGAGCTGCTCTACTTCTATGTGAGCTGCTCTACTTCTATGTGAGCTGCTCTACTTCTATGTGAGCTGCTCTACTTCTATGTGAGCTGCTCTACTTCTATGTGAGCTGCTCTACTTCTATGTGAGCTGCTCTACTTCTATGTGAGCTGCTCTACTTCTATGTGAGCTGCTCTACTTCTATGTGAGCTGCTCTACTTCTATGTGAGCTTCAGGATATTCTTGAGTTTGTGACATGCTCTGCTCCCCCTCTCAATCTTCCAGTCCTGCCCCTCCGCTCGCTCCACGCGCATCGCACTGCGCACCCCTCGTCTTTCTCTCTGCCACCTGCCTGCTGCCCGCCCCTCCCCCCCTCTGCCCGCCTGCCCCCAGAGCCTGCACCTGCAGCAGACACTGGCGGAGCCGGCAGAGGCGCTGCTGGGGGAGATGCAGCACGTGGTGGTGAGATGCAGCACGTGGTGGTGAGATGCAGCACGTGGTGGTGAGATGCACCACGTGGTGGTGAGGTAGCACGTGGCCATTACATTCGCCATGAAGTGGATAGTGATTCCTAGCTTATTTAATTAATACAAAAGCTGTACTTAAAGGTTGTGGAAACTTGTTGGACCAAAGAGCTAGCAAGAGGAAACATGACTGGGCGAGCACGCAGCAAAGAAGTTGTCAGGACAAGGGAAAAAATTATTGAATAGCACCAAGGGTTCGTAAATCGAACCCCTCCAGTCCCGTTCGTTCCTCCCCCCAAACTCCCAAAACTACTCGACCATTTTGTGAGTCAGGCATACGACCTTTCGCCTCTCATCCTCACCTGCCGTCCCATCTGCCCTTTCTCTCTCTCACACTCCGATTCCTCTTCTCCTGCCCTCCGCCCTCCGCCCTTCACCAGGAAACAAAAGAGCTCTACGAGCAGAAGAGGTAAGTGTCGTTGCAGCCCCGTCCTTCGTTGCTCGGTTTGTAACACACAACACGCAAAGAATGGCTGTGAGTAGTGCGCATGGCATTCAGTGTAAACTAAGGGCGTGGAATTGGGGGGTGCCAATGCAGCTGCTGTGCCGTGTGTGCGTGCAGCAAGAGCGAGTGGGAGGGCTGCACAGAGACAAATGGCTGGATAGTATCGTTGGAAGAGATTGAAACCAGAAGGGAGTTCAATTTTGCAAAGTAAACCTGGAACTGGCCTGCTCAGTTCCTTTCTCTGCACAGTTTTCAACCCATGTGCCTCGCCTCGCCTCACGTGCCTCGCCTCACGTGCCTCGCCTCACGTGCCCCGCGCCTCACGTGCCCCGCGCCTGGACCAACGTCTTGTCTCTCTCTGTCCCCTATTGCCTCTTCCCCGCGCGCCCACAACGTGCGGGCGAGCAGGAGGGCACATGCGGCAGCGGCAGTGGCAGCAAAGGCGAGGCGCAGAGAGGCTGCCGCTATGGCCGTGGGGGGGGGCGCAGGCGGGGAGGCAGAGGGTTCGGGAGGGGCGGAGGAGGAGGAGGCGGCGGCGCGGGAGGAGTTTGACGAGGTGGCGATGACACTGGGGTGCCGCATCCTGGCGCTGCAGCAGCGCCAACCGCGCCTGCTGCTCACCCTCGCCCTCAAACACCACGCTGCCAAGGTGGGCTCAAACACCACGCCGCCAAGGTGGGCTCAAACACCACGCCGCCAAGGTGGGCTCAAACACCACGCCGCCAAGGTGGGCTCAAACACCACGCCGCCAAGGTGGGCTCAAACACCACGCCGCCAAGGTGGGCTCAAACACCACGCCGCCAAGGTGGGCTCAAACACCACGCCGCCAAGGTGGGCTCAAACACCACGCCGCCAAGGTGGGCTCAAACACCACGCCGCCAAGGTGGGCTCAAACACCACGCCGCCAAGGTTGGCTCAAACACCACGCCGCCAAGGTGGGCTCAAACACCACGCCGCCAAGGTGGGCTCAAACACCACGCCGCCAAGGTGGGCTCAAACACCACGCCGCCAAGGTGGGCTCAAACACCACGCCGCCAAGGTGGGCTCAAACACCACGCCGCCAAGGTGGGCTCAAACACCACGCCGCCAAGGTGGGCTCAAACACCACGCCGCCAAGGTGGGCTCAAACACCACGCCGCCAAGGTGGGCTCAAACACCACGCCGCCAAGGTGCGGCTTGCTCAACACATGTGCCGTGCATTTCAGTTGCCAACACACTGCTCCCCTCCACGTGCTCTCCTCCACGTGCTCCCCTCCACGTGCTCCCCTCCCCTCCACGTGCTCTCCATGCATGCTCCATGCGGTGTGACCAGGCGCCAATCACTCACCTTGGCTGCTCGCTGCCCTGCACCTGCACCCATAAGCATGTGATGGCCGCACAACACATTCCCTTTTCTGCTCTTTCTACCCTGCCCTGCCCCTTCTCTCCTCTGGTGCGCCTGCCACCCATCAGGTGCGGTGGGTGCGGGGCAGTGCTCTGGAGGTGCAGCGCGTGCAGGCGCGCATGGTGCAGCTGCTGGACGACCTGGGCCTCGTGCACTCGCCGCTGCTGGCGCCCGTGGCGCAGGGGGACGTGGACCAGTGGGGCGACGAGGAGGGAGAGGGAGGGGGAGAAGGCAGTGGAGTGGGCGTGAGGCAGGTGTGCCTGGACGCCTTCAACGCGCCCCTGCTGTCACCCGTGCGTGCACCTGGCCCTCATTGCGTCGTAGCTGACCTTGCCATCTTTCGTCCCCCTCCCTCCATTCCCATCATTCTCTCCGTTATTTACCCCCCCTCTGTCTCTCTTTCCTACATTTTCTCCATGCATTCACTCCCTTTCTCCATGCATTCACTCCCTTTCTCCATGCATTCACTCCCCTTCTCTTATTCCCCCCCCCTCCTCAATGCCCCTGCATCTTCCTCCCTTTCCTGCAGCAGCGTCTACCTCAAGGCCCCTCCTCTCCCCAGTCCCCCCCACACGCACACCCCTCCACACCCGCACCCATCTCGACCACCATGCCTGCCACCTCGCATGCACCGGCCGCGCACCCTCCTGCCACACCCCCGCCTGCCGCACCCTCTGCTGCCGCACACGCGCATGCACCGCCACCCAGCCTGCCACCTGCGCCTTCCTCTGTGCCGCCTGCCCCCACCTCTCTGAGGCCGGACCTACCTGGGCTAGGGGCGGTTGGCCGAGGCACTGCGCTGACTGCGGGCGCGGTGAGTGGCGGTACAAGGAGCATGCCTCGCAGTGTGGGGGAAATAGCGGGCATGCAAGCTGGGGGCGTGCTGCAGCAGCCACACGTGCATGTAGACCTGCCCACAGCACCAGCACCAGCACCACCAGCACCAGCACCAGCACCGTCTCAGGGCCGGCATGGCAGAAGCACCAGCGGCGGGGCGGGGGGAGCAGCACGGCCGTCGCTGGGGGCGTCCAAGTCGGGCCCCATCTCCGCCGCCGCCTACCTGGGCGCCCTCGCTGCCTCTGCTGGGCCCCTGGGAGGGCCGCTCACTGCTACAGCCGCCACAGGGGGGACTGTTGGGGGAGCAGGCAGCATGGGGGCGGCGGTGCCAAGGGGGGCGGGGGCAGGCGTGGCGGGGCGGGGCAGAGCGCCTCACATGGAGCCCTTTGCACCGCAGATGTCCGAGCCTCTTCCCCGCCCCGAGTCCCTGCAGGCGCCCTCGGGCTCTGCCACTGCTACCCCACCCACACCGCCTGCAGCCGCAGCAGCAGCGCCTGCTGTCTCTGTCCCTGTCCCTGGCACCGCTGCTGCTGGCAGTCCCAAGCCCACCCCAGGCGGTGCCAAGCCGCCTCCTGCGATGCCAGGCACTGCGCAGGGGGCTGCTGTGGGTGCTGGCGTGGGGGCAGGGTCAGGGCCGGGGCAAGGTGCAGCAGGCGGTGGCACAGGTGGGTCAGCAGCAGCAGTGGGATCAGCAGCCGGTAGGGGACGGGGAGGACGGGGTGGGGGCGGGAGCAGCAGTGCAGGGAGGGCGCGAGTGAGCATGTCCGGGCCCATCCTGCGCGGCTCATACCCCTATGGCACGCCTGCCCTCTCTCCCCGACCCATGCTCGCCACCGCCACCGCTCTCCCCACTGCGCCTTCTGCGGTTGGAATCACCGCACCCAACTCCTTTGCACCCACCCCCTCATTGCCCTCCCTGGCAGCACCAGCTCCATCAGCACCACCAGTGGCAGGAGCAGCGGGCAGAACCCCATGCGCTGTGCCGCCTGCCGTGCGCGTGCCACAGACCTCGTCTCTGAAAACTCCTGCCAGCACCCTGCATGCGCTGGTGTCTCCACGTCCCTCCGCCGCTGCACCTGCACCATTCCACCTGGCCCCCTCCACGCATGTCCCGGTGGGCGTGGGCAGCCGCGCAGTGAGTGGCCCCATCACACGCGGGTCGCTCTACTCCGCCTTTGGCCTCATGGGGGACGCCCGCCCCGCCTCCTCCACTACCGCTGCTGCTACTGCTGCTGCTACTGCTGCTGCTGCTGCTGCTGCTGCTGCTGCTGCTGCTGCTGCTGGGCGAACAGCGCTGCCGGGAGCAGCAGGGAGCACTAGTGGGGCGAGTGCAGCAGCAGCAGCAGCAGCAGCAGGCGTGGCGGTGGAGGCGGGGTGAGTGCCGTGAGGCTGCACAAGTCGGGCCCCATCGGTCCCTCCCACCCCTACTACTCCTCCCTCACCCCCCTCTCCCCTCCTCGCAACATGCCCCTCCATGCCCTCCCGCCACCTCCCCTCGACATCCCCCCCACTGCTGCTGCAACTGCTGCCACAAATGCAGGAGGCAACCAAGGTACAGAGGGTGCCGCTGCTGGTGGGGGGGATGGGGCAGGCAAGGGGACTGCGGTCGGCAGAGCTGGGGGCAATGGCACTGCCGTTGCTGCTGGCAGTGGCAGTGGCAGCACAGGAGCGGCACGTGGGCAGGGGCAGGCGTCCCCTGCTGCCACCTCCGCCGTCCTGCAGCCGCAGCATGGCCGCCCGCCACCCATCGGTGTGGGGGGAGGGGTGGGAGGAGGGGCCACGGCTGGGAGGGCACGGGTAGGGGGGGCATTGCGCAACCCATCGGTGGCGACGATTATGTCGGAGGGCAGTGAGGAGGGCGGATCCAGCACCAGCAGCATTGCCACCTCGCCTGCTGCCCGCCCTGTTCCCTCCTGACGCCCTCCGCTTTCTTTCCTCGTGCTCTCCCCATGCTCTCATGCTCTCGAGGTGATCATAACGATGAGAGAGTAGAGGGAGGCGGATGGAAGCAGGCCAAGCTGGTGCCTGACTCGTTCTTGGGCACTAGCACATGGGGTGGGGCCATGTGGACTCTGTCAATGTCTCGCTCCATCACCCATGCTTTCCATCTCTCCATCCTCGTGCGGCATCCCTCGTCTCCCTTTTCTGATCTGTCTGCGCTATGGACCATGTCGTGCGGCACACGAGCACGGGTGTGTGTCAGCGTCTGCAGCAAGCCGGTGGCTTCATGGTGCTGCTGGAGTCAGGCGGCGGTCGTACCACCGCCTGTATGGCTCACAGTCTCCCTGCTCCTCTGCAACCGTGTGATGTGAATAACTCCGCCATTGGAAGGGATTGGAGCAACATAGGTATGGTACTACTCTAAAACGGACTCTATTTCTCCAAATGCTGCACCCTTCATTACTACTGGCTGACTGTTAACAGGGTGCCATGCCCAGAGATGGGTGTATGCAGAGATTGTATTGGGCAAGAAAGCCTTTTTGTTTGAGCAAAATATAGTTACACATGTAGCAGCACTTGGGAAATATTTAATATCGTACTTCATATGCGTATGTTTGCTAAAAATAAACAATCGCATTCATGGAATATTCAACTTATGCCTACAATGTAAAAGTTACTGATTATGCTAATTATAAAGCTGTTCTTTTCGTTTTCCCTGAAGTTTCAGCATCTTGTTTAATTGTGCACTAAATTTCCAGTACCCCGGATATAGGCGCCGTCCGATTAAAGGCGCCGGCGCTTCTATCTGGAGCATGGCGCTTATGGCCGGAACTCGATTATAAGCGCCCCCCTGTAAAACCTTGATTTGTTATAAGCGCGTGAATAATATTATCTTTCAATCCTGATTAAAATAGTAGCGAATTTAAATTTTCAAGCGAGTCAACACCCAATTTCACTTTGTGTGACTTTCGAGGTCCTGACCGGTTTCGCGAGGTGGCACGCGGGCAAATTGTCGTGCCAAAAGCTGTGTGCAGTGTCAGAGAATCTCCCTCACGCGATTCTGATTCAGGACGCTATAGAATATCGACTCGATTGAATTTACGAGACTGAAATGTACAATTTGATGTGTTTAAGTTGTATTTCTGTATTTGTCATTATATAAGCGCCGGCGCTTATGGCGGATACTCAATTAAAGGCGCCCCCCTTAAATAATAATAATAATAATAACAATAATAATAATAATAATAATAATAATAATAATAATAATAATAATAATAATAATAATAATAATAATAATAATAATAATAATAATAATAATAATAATAATAATAATAATAATAATAATAATAATAATAATAATAATAATAATAATAATAATAATAATAATAATAATAATAATAATAATAATAATAATAATAATAATAATAATCATCATCATCATCATCATCATCATCACCAATAATTATTATAATAATATAAGCGGATATGCGCGGTACTATCCGGGGTGATACGGTATAAACTATAGGGACCACCACACACCCTGACCAATTCGTGTGTAGGTTGATTTTATCAGGATAATTACCCTGATTTCAGGGCGACTTCGGGCTTGTCATCAGTGCCCTAGATATCAGACTTTGGAGTCTGAATCAGACTCCATTCAGACCTCTTTTTTGTGTCAGAAATAACTGAGCAGGAATGAATAAACTAGAACAGAGTTTGGTACAAGTAGTAAACCCTAAACCCTAACCCTAAACCCTAACTTAGTTTGCTTTTGCTCGGAATTTGTGTGTTATAAACCCTAAACCCTAACTTTGTGTACCCCCTAAGGTGTAACCCACTACAGCCTAGACAATATAAACATGCAATGTTTGACACACCCCCATAGGCGCAGTGGGAGACAACCACAGGGTCACAAGACCAGTCAAAGCAAAGTAAAGCAAGCTCAGGGTGGATCTCAAGGATTCCACACAAATTCCGAGCACAAGCAAGTGGTCTCAAGACCAGTTCACATGCAGGTTTATAACAAAGCAAGAGATACAGTGATCACAACCTAGCAAAAGTAAACAAGTAGGCATATATATATAGTGATCACAGTACAAGCAAGGTCAAGAGGTAAGCAAGTGAGGCCCAGTAGGTACAAGGCCTAGTAGAGTGCAAAAGCGCTGATGGTCACAAGGCTGAAGCGCCTTGGTGAACACATCAGCAGTGTTGGCCTCCGTGGCCACGTAACGCAGACAAAGCTGACCACGCTGCTGCAGCTCTCGAGCAAGGAAGTACCGCAGAGCGATGTGCTTCGTTCTGTGCTCCAGTCTGTGCTCCTCACACAAGGCAATGGCAGCCTTGTTGTCAACGTACAGCACTGGAGGAGAACGAGGCCGCTCTCCGAGGTCGGTCAGCAGGTAGGTCAGCCAGCGTAGCTCCTGAGCAGCCATGGCTGTGGCGTAGATCTCAGCCTCACAACTGGAGCTGAGAACAGAAGAAGAGCGAGTAGAACGCCAAGAAACTGAGCCAGAGCCAAGGCTGAAGGTGTAACCCTGGGACGACCGCTGAGTAGCCTGGTCGTCTGCCCAAGAAGCGTCTGAGTGCCCTGTGAGAACAACCCGGTCTCGCCCTCCAAGCACAAGCCCCATGCCCGACGTACTGCACAAGTAGCGCAACACCCTCTTAGCAGCATCCATGTGCTCCTTCCGGTGACGGCCAGGAGCGACATAGCGTGCTAGGATGCTAAGAGGGTATGCAAGGTCAGGTCGAGTGCAGGTCATCAGGTACATGAGGCAGCCCACAAGCTCTGGATACGGGCCACTCGGCTCTACGGACTCATCCGAAGGCAGAGCTGAGAGCGAGTGACCGGTAGGCAGAGGAGTGGACTGAGGCGAGGAGTACGTGAAGCCGAAGCGCTGGAGAACCTGCTGCACCATGTGTGACTGAGTCAGGGTGATGGTGCGCCGTGCTCTGTCCCGGGTGATCCGCAAGCCAAGATAGCTTGTCAGCTCACCCAGGTCTGTGCACGTGTGTCTCCTCTGCAGCTCCGACTTCACGTGAGCGAGTGCCGCGGTGTCAGCAGTGGCAAAGACCAAGTCGTCGACGTACACGAGGATGTAGAACGGCGGCAGCGAGGTGTCGGTGCGTAGAAACAGCGACGGGTCAGCAGTAGAGGGAGCGAACCCAAGAGCCGCAAGTGTCGTCCTCAGTGTGTCGTGCCACTCACGTGGCGCCTGGCGGAGACCGTAGACCGGCCGCTGAAGCCTCCACTGGGTGCCAGGAGGAAATGACCCAGTGAAGCCAGGGGGGCGGCGCAGCCAGATCTCCTCGTGCAGGCTGCCCTGCAAGAAAGCAGTGCTGAAGTCAAGAGAGTGAAGCTCGTAGTCGCGGTGAGCGGCTATGTGCAGCAGCACCCGAAGAGTAGTCATCTTCGGGGTGGGGGAGAAGGTCTGAAAGAAGTCTACTCCCTCTCGCTGACTGAAGCCTCGAGCCACGTAGCGCGCCTTGAAGACAGGTGGAGAACCCGGCGGCCGCTTCACCCTGAAAATCCACATGCCACTGACGATGTTCGCCCCAGGAGGGGGAACCTCGTCTACGTAGGTGCCTGTGGACTTCCAGGAGGCCATCTCTGCGTCCATGGCTGTCTGCCACTGAGAGGAGTAGGGACCCGCTATCGCCTCAGCGTAAGAGCGTGGGGTCGGGATGTCTGGTGCATCCGGGTCTCCCTCAGGGGCAACTAGCAAGGACACGAGACGGGGCAAAGCAGCAGTAAGGCAGTGGAACTCCTCCTGTCTGTCCTCAAGGACGTCCGTGCCGAGGGCACACTCACCCCCGACGGACGGAGGACAGGCAGACGCAGACTCAGACCTAGCGACAAGGCTGGCAGCGTAGTCTAGGCGACAGCGAGCAGCAAAGTCAACCAACTCAGCGACCAGAGCAGACGCAGCAGAGGACTCAAAGGTCGGGTCAGTGACAACTGTAGCGAGGAGACGCGTAACAGTGGGACTGGCAGCACGACGGGAGTCAGACTCCGGGTCAGGAAGAGTAGGAAGAGAGGACGCAGGAGGAGACGGCAGCGGGACACGCTGCGGAGCAGTGGAGGGACGCAGAGTCATGTAGTGAGTGCCAGGGACAGGAGGAGGACGCTCACGTGGGACACGACGACCAGTGCGAGCAGTACGAACAGGCGACGCAGGACGAGACTCAGGCTCACGACGCTCTGTAAGACCTCCTGTGGGACCAGCGTAAGGGGAGGGAGCAGGGAGAGGCGAGACAGGCGGTAACTGTGACTGCGGCTGGACAGGCAGAGGACACTCGACGGAGGAAGGAGGACAAGGAGGAGGAGCCTGACCAAGAACCTGCTGAAGGAGCGGTACGAAGTACGGTCGCGGCCGCGCAGCGTCTCCAGAAGCAGCAGGGACACCAGTGGCAGCCCCAACGTCCGAGTCCCCAGCA